TGTAGTCGAACGGTGAGACGGACGTGTAGTTCAGTTTTGGGCACGCGTACGGTGCTGCAGGGATTATATATAGGTGTAGTAGTACCTCTTCGGGCTCTTGGATACCTTTTTCTTGCTACGTGTGCGTGTTCTTTAGATCCTCAGATGGCTCTAGCACTTTCGTGACCACGGGCTGAGAGTCTTTGCTAGATTTTGGCATTTAGCAACTGGCATACGGTTTAATGTGAAGTCAACAACAACAACAACAACACACTGGAATACCAAGTCGTTCTGTACTTACTTCGAATAGTGCCGGTGTCCGGTTTAGTGCCGGTGAAATTTCGGCGCACACCCCGGCGCTAAATAGGGACCTCTACTGTGCGCCAATTCTCGCATGATGGTTTCATAGATGATATCATATGCTTTTCTCTCTCTCCTTTTCTCAATCACCCCGCTTGCCCCGCGCNCGCCAATTCTCGCATGATGGTTTCATAGATGATATCATATGCTTTTCTCTCTCTCCTTTTCTCAATCACCCCGCTTGCCCCGCGCCAGCAGCTATCGCGCATACAGCGTACCACCATCGACCCTGAAAGAGAGACAGACGACACAAGTATGTACCCCCCACCACACTCACATGAAGTTCATTGGCGAGGACGAGCTCATTTGCCGTACAAAAGTCCAGCACGTCCTTCCTGACAGCGGCGATTTCCTTGCAGAGCTTTCGAGCCACCACGAACGATTTTACGCGTCCTTCCAGAGCTTGGCGACCTCTTTCACCCTGAGGCTCTTGGTGTGCTTCTCGAGCGCCTTGAAACCCTTCAGAAGGACGGACCGGTCCGAGCGCTTGTCGAGGACTCCTTCTATCACCACGTCGTACAGGTCACGAAGGACGGCGAGATCTCCCTTGTTGCTCCTGGCGGTGTCCACCAGCTTCTCGAACGACAGGAATGCTTAGAACACAATTCCCACAAGGGGTACCTCCTGCATCAAATCCGCCGTCTCCGTCGCAACCTCAAGAGGTGCCTCCTGCAATACCGCCACGGTTCCCGATAAAGCCTCTCGGACACACGTGAAGACGCTAATCTTGTCGGTGGCAGTGAGGGCTAA